GACTAGTAAAAGGAGATGTGAGATGGTCTAAGGAAGAGAGCAAGAAAAAAAAGAGGCAATGATGTTTACTTTGAAAGCTTACAATAAACTCCAAAAAACCCCAGAGCTTGCCTCAAGTCCTGCTAGAGTCATAAAATACCAACATAAAACCAAACAGATTTAATTATCTGTTTTCAAAATCCCCCTTTTCTATTTTTTAAAGAAATGGCTTAGATCCAAGACCATCTGAAAAAGCTTTGCAAAAACACTGTGAGTCTCTTTTCTATATCTTCTCCTTTGGAAATTCATAGCGAAGCAATTTGTAGTTTAGTTTGTTTTTGCTGTTTATTCCCAGTCCAGCTGAAGCCCAGGATTTATTTTCTGCAAGCAAATTAGGAAGATATACATGCTGAACTATTAGTAAGGAACACAATGTGGTCTCCAAGTTGACAGATGGCAAACCCTATGATAAGAGTCCAGAAGCCAGTTTGAACACACCAAGCTAGTCAGCATGAAAGAATTCATAACTTTTTAGATCAAATTCACATCTGAAATCATGGGTTGTTTTCACCCAAAGTCTTATTTGTCATCTTTGCAACTGTTAACTCTGATTGTGATTGGGGAAGGAAAGTTTGAAAAATCTCGACCCACCACAAGTTCCATAAATCTAACCGTCCTGTGTTTAAATATAAAAACAACATAATATTTATACCATCAACCTTCAAAAATAGTTTTTTAGCACATTGATAAAGTGATTATTTTGATTGCAATCAATCACAAATTTATTCTACAGGTAGTCCTATTTAGTGACCACAACTGAGCCTGGTGACTTAGTAAGTGAAATAATCATTAAATGAAAGTACAACTGTATTGATCTTACTTCAGTTTTTAATAGAAGGCTATAAGTGTCTCGGTTGTAAAATTAGTTTATCAATCCTGTCATAACTACAAAAAGTCATTAAATTAGGAAATTGCTAAATGAGAATTACCTGTATACAGATAGTCCTTAACTTACAACAGTTTGTTTAGTGACTGTTCAAAGTTACAATGGCATTCAAAAAAGTGACTTACAACTGTTTTTTCAGACTTGCAACCATTGTAGCATCTCATGTGATCAAAACTCAGAAGCTTGGCAACTGACTCATATGACGGTCGCAGTGTCCCAGGGTCATGTGATCATGTTTTTCAACCCTCTGACAAGCAAAGTCAATGGGGAAGCCAGATTCATTTAACAATCCTGTTACTAACTACAGTGATTCATTTAACAACTGTGGCAAGAAAGATTGTAAAATGGGGCAAAACTCACTTAAAAGAAATTTTGGGCTCAATTGTGGTTGTACAGTAAGTCAAGGACTACCTTTCTACATACTGTGCATTTGTGTGCATTCTCTCTCTCCCTCCCTCCCCCTTCCTACATGAAGTAGAGAGACTAAAAAAATTGCACGGAATTCTCATAAAAAGATGCAAATACATGCTGCTGCAGAAGAGATGCGTGCTAGTTTATGGACATGTGTTTAATGTTTATTTTTCTGTGCTTGGATCATTGCAACCTCCCTTAAATAAATAATGAATGCACCTTAGCAAATTATTAAAATGTTCTTCAGTAAAGTTGATATATGAGCTGAAAAACTGGGGAGGGGAGAGAGTATTTGTGTTAATCAGTCTTTTATGCAGAACCAGTGAACAGAGAATAACCTTTCGATGCCAAATTATGCTGTTTGCTTTTCTGAGAACAGTCAATTAAAGGATTTAATTTTGAGAAGAGGGAGAAGAGAACAATGCTGTGATTCAAACTATTTGCAACCTTATGTTCCCAAAGAATCTAGCATTGACTTGATTCTTGAGTCTGCTTTTGCAACATGGAGAAATACCAAACAACCACAATGGTCCTAAAATTTGGCCCTGTTAAAATTTGACATGGTTTCTGTTGCCTTGAAAAAACAGCCTGGAAGAATAAATTGGAAACATGCCAAGACAGCTGGAAGCTTTTAAATATTACAGATCTTTGTGGATTTTGGACCATTTCACTGCCCTTTAAAACCAAATGAGCAAACTCTTTTTCCACACTTCAAACTCTACTTCCGGACATAGGGATTAATCCAGGTTGACATTCTTCTTATGTTCTTAGTGAATCTAATTCAGTTTTTTCCTGTTTCTACTCTCTTACGTGACTTCTGATTCTAGAACTAAGAATTAAAAAGTCATATTTTCCTGAAAGATGTCCTAATAACAGATGTTGGCTGAAGTCACATATCAATCCAAATTATGGTTTCCTTTAATTATGGTTTGTTGAACAAATTTGATTTAACAAATAATACTTAATCACAGTTTTGGTTTATACAGATAATTATCAATTTATGACCATTCATTTAATGACCATTTGACATTAGAACGGCAGTGAAAAAAGTGACTTATAGCTGCTCCTTATGATGGTCACAGCATTCCCATAGTCACATGATTGTGATTTGGATGGTTGATAATCAGCATGTATTTATGATGGTTGCAGCATCTCTGGGTCATATGATCACCATTTGTGACCTTCCCCAAGGAAGGGAAGGAAGGTAGGGAGGAAGAAAGGGAGGAAAGACAAAGCAGGAGAGATGGAAGGAAGAGAGGAAGAAAGAAGGAAGGGAGGGAGGGAAGAAATAGAGGGAGGAAGGAATAATGAAAGAAGGAAGTAGGAAGGAAGGAAGACAAAGCAGGAGAGAAAAAGAAGGAAGGAAGGAAAGCCAAGTCAATGGGGAAAGATGGATGGATAGAAGGAAGGAAGGAACAGAAGGAAGAAAGAAAGGGAGGGAAGGAAGGAGGAAATAAAAAGTGGAATGAAGGGAGGGAGGGAGGGAGGGAGGAAGGAAGGAAGGAAGGGGGGAAAAGGATCTCTTCCCCAGAGATTCTGTGGTTCCCACTTTTATGTCATTCAGGAAACTGTTGATTTAAAGATAGACAGATTGCAAAGCCTCTTTTCGTCCTTTTGCTTGTTCTGCTTTTCTTTTCTTTTGATTACTTTGCTCTTCTGCTCTGTTATATATTTTATATGTTTGTATATGACATTGCATTGATGGCACAATCAAAAATATGAGCTGAACCAAAGAAAGGTACAAAGATGGAGCTCCTTGCTTGTTACAGTATTTCTCCTTCTAATGCTCCTGGTGATCAAACTGATATGAAGAAAGAGTAGACTGTTTTGGATCTTCACCTCAAATAACCCAGCTATTTAGCCTGTAATTGTTTAAAATACGGATAATTAACTGAATTTTGACAGTGTAACCTTGGGGGTCCAAGGTTGATAAACCTGCCATATTCTAAGCCCTTAATTCTACCCCTTCCAATTTTTTGGGAACATTTACAGATAAAAGTTCAGGTCTAAATAGAGACTAGTGTTCCTTAAAAATCCAGTAGAAATCCAGGTCATACTTTTATTTATACAACATCTGTCAGGAAATTAAGTTTACAAGTATATTTTTATTTTTTTATTTTTTATTTTTTAAAACATAAACATAAAATACATCTTTTCAAAATGAAGCATTGATCTGGTCATAAATTGGTACAATTACTAACAAATCTTAATTTTCAAATAACACCACTTAATCTTTAACTCAATTATTTATTGGTTCGATTTAAATGCCGCCCTTTTCCGGAGACTCAGGGCGGTTTACAATGCGTTAAGCAATAGCCTTCATACTTTTGTATATACCTGCTTAGTAGGGCTTTCGGGGGGCCCCTAAGCGGTGTTCTTTTTTATACAAAGTCAGTTTATTGCCCCCACAAACCGGGTCCTCATTTTACCTACCTTCGAAAGGATGGAAGGCTGAGTCAACCTTGAGCCTGGTGAGATTTGAACTTGCAATAATTAGAGGCAGCTGGTGTTATCTTAACAGTGCTTTAGTCTGCTGCACCACCAAGGCTCTTATTTCCCTAAATTCTGTCTATTTAACAATGCCGTTATCTCAAAAACCCGTTACTTAAATCTTTAAATCATAACCAAATATCATTTCATTTTTCTTTTTCTTTTTGCTTAGAGGAATGTATTTTGAAAATAGAAATCATTACAATTATTATAAGCATTTAAACAATACTTTAGCTGTTGCTCCCGATATAATCATCTTCATTGCTGTTTATCAACACAATCATCCTTATTTAAACTATTAATCCCAACCTAATCATTTTATTTTAACCGCTAATCCCAGCACAAACATCTTTATTTTAACTATTTATCCCAGCACATCATCTTCATCTTCATCTTAATCATCATCTTTTACTGTTAATCCCAGCATAATCATCTATATTTTACTGTTAATCCCAGCATAATCCTACTTGCTTTTGCTGTCATAACCAGCATAATCATTTTTGTTTTTTGCTGTTAATCCCAGCATAATCATTTCATTTTTACTGTTAATCCCAGAATAACCCTCCTTGTTTTTGCTGTCATACCCAGCATAATCATTTTTGTTTTTTGCTGTTAATCCCAGCATAATCATCTTAATTTTACTGTTAATTCCAGCATAATCATCTTTGTTTTTACTGTTAAACCCAGCATAATCATTTTTGCTGATATTCCCAGCATAATCATTTTAATTTTGCGGTTAATCCCAGCATAATCATCTTTCTGTTGTTACCATCTATCTATATTTTATTTATTCACATTTAATCATATTATCATTATCTTTTTTATGACAATTTAACATTGAGACATAGTTCTTACTTCAAACACATCTTTATATGCATTTATAAATTCCTTTTAACATAATTTATTTCTCTTATATTCTAATTTCCATCAATATTTCAGTTTTATATATCTACAACATAGTCTTCTCATATTCCTATTCATCCATATTTATCTATAAAAACCTCCTTTTTATTATTACTATCCACCTATACATTGTTTTTTTCATTTTTAATCACGTTGTTTTAATCTTCTTTTTCTTTTTCCAGCCGTGTATACCTTATTTCTTCATATTCTTGCCTACTGGCATATATTTCATTTCATTTTCAATATCTTCAAATTTTGTCCTCCATGTATCATTTTAAATCTTTTTCTTATTTCTATTCCAAATAAAATGCATCAAGTTCCCTTCTCTTGTTCCTGCGCCATTTCCTTCTCTTGTTCCTGCGCCAGTTTTTTTAGTTGTTATTATACCAATTATAAGAGTTCCATTATAGTTTAAGCTTACAAGTATTTTGAACATCAGTCAAATTCTTACTGTAATGCTTCAGGTATCCTCTTTTCACAATATATATTAAATCTTACGTAGCTACGAAAGGGAGAAAAAGCGATGTAATTTTGGTCCTGTTTTTATTTGCTTTGGCCCTGTCCCTCATTGAGCTGTAAACCACATCCACATGCAGAGCTGTCCATCATGATGACCTCTGGAACTGTCTGGCTCAAAGTGGTGAGAGGATCCAGCAAGATTTCCCATCTAAATGATGACTCAGCTCTGTTCTTCTGGCAAGAGGCAGTGAGTAAGATATATAACTTCTCTGAGCTGGTCAGACGTTGAGCTTGTTTGATTCATGAATGGGCGAGTTTCCAATATCAACTGCCAAACAAGCAAAAACATATTCTGGAACTTGAGTTCGGGTAAGAAAAACCATCTCAAAAAGAAGGGAAGTTGAAAAATAGAGCTTTTCTAGAGTGTACAATTGGGGGAAACAAGATACAAGATATTTTCTACATTACTAAGAATTGTGAAAAAGAAGTAAACTATGAATTGTCTATAGACAAGGACACCTTTATGTTATTTTGATATAGGGTCTCTGCTCAAACAGGAAGTTGGACTCAAAGACTTCCAAGGTCCCTTCCAGCTCTCTTTTTCTGCATTCTCTACAGGTAGTCCTCAACTTACAACCCGTCATTTAACGACCGCTCAATGTTACAATGGCACTCAAAAAAGTGACTTATGACTGTTTTTCAGACTTAGGACCATTGTAGCATGCACATGGTCACGTGATCAAAATTCGGACACTTGGCAACTTATTTATATTTATGATGGTTGCAGTGTCCCAGGGTCCTGTGATCACCTTTTGTGACCACCCAACAAGCAGACTCAATGGGGAAGCCAGATTCACTTAACAACCATGTTACTACGTTAACAATGCATGATTCACTTAACAATTGTGGCAAATAAGATCATAAAATGGGGCAAAACTCACTTAACAAATGTCTCACTTAGCAACATAATTTCTGAGCTCATTTGTGATCATAAATTGAGGACTTATGTGTATTCTATTCTGATGATTTGGTCTCATCGGCAGAATGAACATTACCATCTTTCTTTCATTCATCAAAAATCCTCAAAACAATGTTTCTAAAAAGATACTGGAGAAAATAGTTTCCAATGAAGTTTTCAACTTTGATCACATTTTTTACTTTACTATATGTATATGTTTTAAAAAATGAATTGGAATCACAATTTAGATTCCCATTGCTACATGCTGGTTAACTACAAATTGAATCTTTGGATCACTGAACATGCCTCCAGTCTAAGTGAGAATTTGAATTTGTGGTCTCTAGTATGTCTACAGTGTTGACACATTCACTTTGCAGAGCAGACTGTTCAATGTATGTTTACTACAACTAGAATTATTTCCTCTGGTCACATGAATCAGAAGTCATATGTGTGACATCCATGAAAGTTATGCTCTAATCAGCTGCACCTCCCTACTCTAAATTCATTTCTGGGAGTGCCTGCTTGATGGATCTTTGCTTTATTCTGTTGGGTTAAAATAATGGACTGTTCATTAACTCCATTATTGTAGGAGACAATCAAGCTGAACCCAAGGGAGAGGTCAAGCAAGTCATCAGTCTTGAATCCCTTTGCACCAACAACAGATCTAAGCACACCTTGACCTTCCATTGACTCTTATCTGTCACCAATTTGCTTTGAATCTTAGTAGTTCAGATTGTTTGTAGAGAGTGTTAGGATGCATTAAACCTGTATTAATTTGAACCATCCTGGCTCCTGCTTTCCTGCATCTGACATTTATTTTGAATCACTTTCAGAATTCTTTCTTTTAAAACTTCACCAAAAAAGAAGTCAATAACTTGTAAACTTCCCTCTCAACCAAATTAAGGAGCCTACTAGTTATTAATCTAGGAGATATCAACCAGATCATTTTGTTTGTATGCTTTATTCTCACAGGAGTTCTGTGAAGATCCTCATCTGACTGTACATGGAATCAGTTCCCATGATTTACATCAAGGAAGCCTGGGAAACTGTTGGTTTGTGGCTGCTTGTTCTTGCCTAGCTCTTCGGAAGAAGCTGTGGCAGAAGGTAGTCCTCCAGAGCCATAAATGTTGCATTCTTTGGTTAAAATTTAAACATGGTGTTCCAAAGCCATACGACCTTGGAATGGTGGCCTCAGACACACCCTAGAACCTTCACATCAAAACAAGTTGCATCCTCCTCACATGTTGATACATGTTGTTGTTGGTTTATGAGAAGGGAAATTTGTGTTTTGGTCTAGAGTGGTATATCTCAACCTTGGTGACTTTGAGATGTGTGGACATATAGAATTCCCCAGCCAGCCTGCTGTGGGATGCGCAACTGTATAAGTTAGGGATGGAGTAAGTTAAAAACAGTTTGTGATGGGGAAATTCTGTCCCTGTAAATTTTATCAATTGATTTAGGAGACTCCAATTTTTATGATTTTCTTTTCCAGAAAAACCTGGTTCATTTTGTAGTTATTCCAGGGAGGAATATGGAGAAATTACCCATCTGTACCTTTAATGGATAACTTTAATGTAGATTTATTTGAGAGGGATGTTTTTCTTCTTTCATTAAGAATTGCAACTGTCAGTTGCAAATTCCATTTATGTGTATAGATTTTATTCCAGCAATAAGCAAGTTGATCTGGCTCACCAATGAATGTTTTCTGTTCTATGTTTGCAGTGTATTTTCAGTTTCTTTGCATACTGCAGGTGATCCCAAATATTAAGGAACAGGACTGGGACCAAAAGAGACCAGAGAAATATGCTGGAATCTTTCACTTCCGTTTCTGGTGTTTTGGAGAATGGATTGATGTGGTCATAGATGATCGGTTGCCAACCATAGACAATAAGCTGATCTACTGCTCTTCTAAGGAGCCCAATGAATTCTGGAGTGCACTTCTGGAGAAAGCTTATGCAAAGTAAGTGGTGATTAACAAGGTGTAAGTGCAGTTTTATCAGCTACACAAATAAGATTTGTTAGCATGGGGATATTCATAGTCGTCGTTCTCTTCTACAAAGACCTTGAAGTGGGTTCATACTACTCCTTCCCTATTTCAGATCCATTCCATTATAAAGAGCATAGGGTTTTAGAAGTGGCAGAAGAGAATTGGATTAAAAGAGGATCAATACTGCGGGCAAAGTAAACAAAATAGCTATTCTATTATTGGGTTATATTTTCATGGCAGTTCATTACTACAAGGTCTTCCATAACTTTGTAGATCTAAAGATTTACATTTGGAAGAACATTTCTGCAAAGTTAGAGAAGGTGGCAGTGAAGATAGTCCTGAAGTCTTCCAAAGTTCATTTGAAGCTCCACCCACTTTATTGTCTCTTCTGTTGTGCAGGAACCCCTGGAGGGTTCAAGAAGGTCAGGTGTAGTTATGGGGAAATACATAGCAAAATCTCATTGTTTGTGTGTTTGAAACTCTGCATCATGTCTTCTCTAGGATGGCAGGTTGTTACGAAGCTTTGGATGGGGGCAGCACAGCCGAGGCAATTGTCGATTTCACAGGAGCCGTAGCAGAATCCATCAACCTGATTGATGGTAATTATGACTATAGTATCATCGAACAGGTGAAACTCTTTAGAGAATTGCTGAAAGTTCATAAAAGGGGAGGATTGATCAGCTGCTACATCATGGTAAGTGCACCGAAAGCAAGCTGTGATGTGTCCTTTGGTCTGTGTTTGACTCTTTATCAAACTGTCATTCCCATAAAATAGACCAGACTAGGCAATCAACTCTCTAGGAAGGCTAAAACTCCCTTTATTGAGATTGGCTCTAATACAAAAACTTGCAAATCTACTTGTGCTGTATCTTCTCCCCCCTTCTTATACTCAAGCGAACCAGGAAGGTGTTTATCTGAGCCACTTCTGAATGTTATCTATTTCTCTGGACTTAAACAAGTTTCAGTCCTTTTGGCCTGCATATCTTCATCATGGTGATCTTCCTTATTCTCTCCACAAACTCAAGAAAAGAGGCAGGATGATTGAGGAAGCCTGGTTCATTCATTCTGCCAATTAATCTCTGGATTTGCCAGAAGGCTATAACTCCCAAGTGAGGTAAACAAATAATAAGCCCAGTTATCAAATAGGTCTCTATGATAGCATCCAGAAATCCACCAATCTGTAGGCCTCCAATGCCACATACATGCATCAGGGAGCATCTTCGGGTCTGAGACTTCTATCCAAATATTGAAACTATCACAGTGCAATTACAAAGGAACAGCAACGCTTGTATTATATCAATGCACTGTTGCTTTCATAATCCCAAAGGTGCTTTGCCAAAAGGCAACTGGACTTCCTTGGGTTTTTTTGATGAAAAATATTTCACTTCTCATCCAAGAACCTTCTTCAGGTCAGGAGAACTGAAGAAGATTGGGACAACCATGACCCGATGATTGTGAATTTCCATAGACATGCTGCTTTCATCATTTTCATATTCCCCCTATGGACACCACTTTATGCATGTGTTCCTACAGTAGCTCTGTTTATGTCTAAACTAGTCCCAATTCACCCCCTTTCCCAGTATCAAATCATCCATCTAGCAAAATTAAGTCCCCATCCCTCCTGTTAAAATTGCCCTAGGAATGAAGCAGCCTTCCATGCTTTTGGAGGTCCCAGAGAGAGAGAGAGAAGGAAAGTGGGGCTGGAAGGAGAGAGCTTTTCAGCCCATCTGCTTAAAAACGGCCTAATAATTCAAAGACCCAAACCTAAGCATAATTCAGTTCCCTCAAGGCTATTGCCTTTACAATAAAGAAAAGCATTGACTGATGTGGGAGAGGACTTAAGTGTGAAGGTTTTGCTATTTCTGCTCTTCAGTAGAAATGTCCCTCCCTCTTTTCTTTAGGGCTAGGCAGAGAAATGCTCCTCCGTCATTTTATTACCAATTGTCCCAAAGGTACTTTTTCAAGAGGTGGCCTTAACGACTCTCTAAAAGAATGCAAATGACCAGCTGTCTGCAAGCGGTATAAATCCTTCCATTACCCACCATCTAGTCAGAGCTGAAGAAGCTTCTTGGATGACAAGCAAAACATCTTCAAAGAATAACCAGAAAGTCCAGTTGCTTCTTGAAAAAGCACCTTTGGGACAACCATGACCTGGATGACTGAGCATCTCCATAGACATTTATTACCAATTGTCATTTAATTGGATGAGATATTTTGGCTTGGACAATTATATCCAAGGAGAAGAGAATGTCTGTGAAAATCTCATGGGTAGAGTGTGGAGATCTTGCATCTTTTAGGGACAAAGTATCTAAGGGCTTTGTGCAAATGTCCCACCTTTTCTTATATAGTCATTCTCCAGTGGTGAATTCTCCAATTGAGCTTTTTCAGAACAGTATTACAGTCAAAATTAAAGGGAAGCCCATCCTTGAAAAATCACTAGGGAGTTTGTTCAGACAAATCAGTCTAATTTATCTGCGCACAAGTTGAATGGACTCAAAATTGCTAGTCATAAATGACTTAATTTCCCCAACTCACCTCAATCCAAATTTCCTTCTCCAGTGCCACAAAATTCCCTGAAAAAGGGATTCAAGAGAGATTCTGTGTAGCCAATCTGTTCTTTTCCACTATTTTCTTCACAAAAGTTTTTATGGGAATATAAACTTGAAAGGGACAACAGAGAAGCTAGAGTGATACTGCTATCAGTGGAGAATGCATTACAGAATGTCTCCAGAACTTCTGCAGGGGGTATGTTGTAGACATACTAGATTTTTTTTTTCTGGAGACAAATCCTTGTGGGAAGGATCTGAGGTGAAAAGACATTTGGAAACCATCAATGCAGCCATCATGTCTCCTGAAATGCTATTGACTTTTGTAGAAATGCTCACCCCTTTGGAATGGGACAAAATATGAGTAATTCCTGGATTGGATTTTAGAGATAATTAAAATGAGACATGTCCAAGCATGCTTTGTCATCCATTCCATTTGTTTACCTCCCATGTGCATATTCAACTTCACACACACACACACACACACACACACACACACACACACACACACACACACCACTCTATATACCCTCACTGGTTGTGGGTAAATAAGGACTTAATGGTGATCTTGTAAAATCCTGAAGAGCAATATTATAACAAAACAAAAAAGCAGCACAAAAGCCTTCTAGTTGCATCAGACTAAAGATCCTAAAGAGCCAACCAAATTCTCCAAGAAGCCCTATCAACCAATTCTTACCCCAGTCCTGAAACATTTATTGTTGTCTTCAATTCAGCCACGCTATGTAGCATGTGAGAGCAAATGTTAAGTCAGGTACAAATGTTTAATGCCTAAGGCTGGTACACCAAAATTAGACATCTGGCTGAAATCAATGGGCACTGAATCTTCACTCAAAAGTTTACCTGTGAGACAAAAAAATACAAGCTCTAAACATGTCTTAAGAACACAACATTTTTCCATGACCTCCTTAACCTCATGAGTGGAAATAAGAGTAGGGTGGAATAATATGGTTCTTACTCTGTACTAATTAATTCTCAAACAGAATTCTGCCGTGGTTGCAAGCATAATAGACAGCAGAACTGTAGATCAATTAACACTGAAAATTTGATTTAATTTTAATTACTCAATTTAACATTGTTCATATTCACTTATCCATGTGACCATCCCCTTTCCCCATCATAAGAAAATTCTTGTTTCTTTTGACATGCAATTTACTCTACAGTTTTGTAGGGTTCTACAAGAAATGTTTCTTCGGTAATTTTTCTCAGGCATATCGTACTCTGAGTAAACCTCTCTAGTAAAAACCCTTCCTATTGGTGGATCATGTCATTTTACTCTAAAAGAAATCCATGTTGTCAGCTTCAGGCTTATAGAAGAATCCCCTAGTCTCTTTCTAGAACAGGATATTCTGTAGATTACTTATTTCATATGACAAGTTTACCAGGGGATCTGATTAAGTGTTTCCTACTTGTTTCAGTAGGGAGATTATTCATTATCTCTGCTAAAGAATATTAATGAGGCATAGTTCATTTCATACTTGAAGGAGACATCTACTTCTTCAGAAATAATTTAATTTAAAAAGTTTTAAAAATCCCCAAATAAAATATTAAGATAACAGAAAGAATTCCCATAAGACAGCTGTGATACAATATACCAAAATAGCAATGCTACACCTTTGAGTTTTCATTCTAATCACACATCAACATGCATTCAAGACTTACTCAAAAGAACACAGTGGAATTGGTGCATCTGGGAGTGTTTGTGTTTCTAATGCTGAAATGCATCTTGAGTGTATGCCTGAACAGAACTTCTCAAGTTTGACTGACATATGTCATTAGCAAATTCTGGAGGTTCTTATCATATTTTAAGAGGTATATAAGAACAGTAATATCCCATTTAGCCCAATAGTAAATAATAGTATACAGTCAGATGGAGCAACATTTAGAAGAGGTTGCTATTGATGGGAGAAACCAAAAACCATAATGAAAATTTGCATTAATTTGTGTTCATCTCATACCTAGCCTTCATCCTTCAGTGATTTTGAAGTAGAGACGGACATGGGTTTAATCAAAGGTCATGCCTATTCAGTGACATCTATCCTGAAAATGTCTGTTGGACAGAAGAACCTGTGCAGTAGAAAGTCTGAGAAACACTTCATGATCCGATTAAGGAATCCTTGGGGAAATAAGGAATGGAATGGAGCATGGAGTGATGAGTAAGTAATCCATACTTTAAGAATGAGAAGCATTAGAACCAAGATCATGTGAAGTGTAAGACCACATTTGGAATATTGGAGTCCCGCCTGGACTACTGCAATGCTCTCTACATAGGGCTCCCCTCGAGGAGCACCCGGAGGCTCCAGCTGGTCCAGAATGTGGCCATGCGGATGGTTATAGGAGCGACATGGTGCTCCCATGTGACTCCCCTCCTGCGCGAGCTGCACTGGCTCCCGGTGGTCTTCTGGGTGCGCTTCAAGGTTTTGGTTACCACCTTTAGAGCGCTCCATGGCTTAGGACCGTGGTATTTATGAGACTGCCTTCTGCCACCAGTAGCCTCTCACTGACCAGTACGCTCCCATAGAGAGGGGCTTCTCAGGTGCCGTCAGTCAAACAATGTCAACTGGCGGCCTCCAGGGGGAAAGCCTTCTCTGTGGGGGCACCTGCCATCTGGAATGAGTTCCCCCCGGAGATTCGAAGGATCCCGGATCTGTGCACTTTCTGCCATGCCCTCAAAACATTTTTATTCCAGCAGGCTGGCCTGGCCTAACTTCCCTTTTAAATTCCTTTTAAATTTGTCTTATAAATTGGGGTGTTTTGAATTTGTTTTGGGCCAAAGTATTTAATGTATTTTAAATGTTTTTTTTAACATTTGTACTATGCGTATTTTATCTTTTGGCTATTCACCGCCCTGAGTCCTTCGGGAGTAGGGCGGTATATAAATTAATTAAATTAAATAATTAAATTAAATTAAATTAAATTAAATTAAATTAAATTAAATTAAATTAAATTAAATTAAATTAAATTAAATTAATTCAAATCAATTCAATCAATTCAATTCATTCAAATTAAATATTAAATTAAATTAAATTAAATTAAATTAAATTTAAATTAAATTAAATTAAATTAAATTAAATTAAATTAAATTAAATTCTGCACCCAGTTTTAGTCGCCACAATGTAAAAACGATATTGAGACTCTATTGAAAGAATACAGAGAAGTGCAACAAAGATGAGAAGGTGGCTAGAAACTAAAACATATGAAGAATGGTTGCAGGAATTGGGGCTGTCTGGTCTAGTGAAAAGAAGGACTAGAAGGTGACATGATAGCAGTGTTCCAATATCTAAGGGGCTGCCATAAAGAAGAGGGGGTCAACCTATTCTCCAAAGCACCTGAAGGCAGGACAAGAAACAATGGATAGAAACTAATCAAGGAGAGAACCAACCTAGAACTGAGGAGAAACTTCCTGGCAGTTAGAACAATTAAACACTGGAATGACTTGTCTCCAGAAGTTGTGGATGCTCCAAAAAGAGATTGGCTAGCCATTTGTCCAGAATGGTATAAGGTTTCCTGCTTGAGAAGGGGGTCAGGAGGGCTTTGGTTTTACTTCTCCTTTTGTCTTCAAAAGATTTGTAATCGGCAGAGCGATTTTGGCGAACGAGGGGATGAACTGTCTATAGAAGTTAGCAAATCCCAGGAAGCTCTGTAGTTGTTTGAGGGTGCGTGGTGGGGCCCATTCCAACACTGCCCGGACCTTTTCCGGATCCATCTCTATTTCCTCATGCGAGATGCTGTACCCCAGATAGTCAATTGTGTTTTGGTGGAATTTGCACTTTGAGACTTTGGCATACAGTTCAGCAGCCCTGAGTTTTTTCAGGGCAGTCCTCACCAATTTCACATGGTCATCCATGTTCTCGGTATAGATAAGAATGTCATCCAAGTAGATCAGCACCCCCTTGTATATGTGTTCATGCAGTACTTCGTTGATTAATTGCATGAACACAGCAGGGCTCCTTGTAGTCTGAAACTGGAAACATCCCAGCGGGCAGTTAAAAGCTGTTTTCCATTCATTCCCTTCCTTAATTCGGACTTTGTAGTAAGCCTCTCATAAATCAAGTTTGGTGAAAATTTTTCCCTTGCCTAGGTGGGCTAGCATGTCCTTCATTGAAAGAGCATTGAAAGAGCAGAGGCTGACACAAGTTCAAAGTCTAATCTTCTCTCTTCCACATCTGCTATTATCATTCAGCCACAATGTCAAAGTCAATTGTTGTTAGAATTTCTTCAGTCTTCTGAAAGTCAAAGTCAAAGTCTGTTTCCCTTCTGCCACTGGGGAAACTCTCTCTCTCAAAAAAAAAAAACACGAATTAGGTCACTGAGGATCCACGGATAGTGGAAATATCGACAGGTCTTTGAGAGCCCTCAAAGAGCCTGTCCTACCACCGCGACACTGGCCACGCCTCCCCAGAAGGTTATCTTTCTCAAATATCTTTGAGAAGGAGTCAAAGTAGGCTGGGTTGTCCACAGCACACACTAGTGTAGCTGAACACTAGATGCTCTTGTATTTTAAAAAATGGATAAAATAGGTGTAACTTTTTTCCCCTTTCTTTTTTTAGATCTGAGGAATGGAAGAAAGTGACCAAATCAGAGCGCACAAGATTAGGTCTCACCTTTGAAAATAATGGAGAATTTTGGTGAGCTCAGTTAATCAATGTCCAATAATTCTTAGTGGTGGTGTTTTCTCTGCACAAGAAACTATTTTTTTCCTGGTACAAATTCCCATCATTCATTCATTCATTCATTCTCTCTTCTATGCCATTCAACTTCTAATTACACAGAGCAGTGAACATAGGAAGTAATAAAGAAACAGAAAATTCAACACTTCAACACTCAACAGCATGTCTTATAATAACCATCTTGAATAGATTCTCACTCATAACATCCCTTGAATGTTCTCTTCCCAAATCCATCTTTTAATTTTGTTACAGGAACATCTGGGAGGAAGTAATTCAATATATAAGCAGAAGCTGTTTCATAAAAGTGGGACACCATTCTTGAGAAAAATCTGCTATGGGACTCCTTTGGAGATAGAATCTTCATCGAGATCTCGCCCAGATCTTACCAGATGGAGAGATTTGGTGGAGAATAGGCAGCCTCAAAGATAGCCAGACCTTAAGCCATGTAGGGTTTTAGTATTTAGTTATGTAGGAAAAAATAAAATGACCACTTCTGGCAGAGAATCCAACTTTTGAGTAGCAAACAGCCCTTTGGTGTTTTGTTTGCCCCGTAGTGGTTGATCAATCTAACATACAACTATAGGTAGTCCTTGACTTACAACAGTTCATTTAGTGGCCGTTCAAAGTTTATTTATTATTTATTTATTTATTATATTTCTATACCGCCTTTCTCCCGTAGGACTCAAGGCGGTGTACAGTCAAGAAAAATATAGACACACAAACATCATAAAATTGCTAATTAAAATTATTACTTAGTTTGGTCAATTAAATAAAACCCAGAATTAGATAACATTTAAAAAAGTCATTCACATGTTCATATGTTTAGCCCCGCCTGTTGGAACATCAGGGTCTTGAGGGCACGGCGGAAAGCACGGAGATCAGGGATATTCCGTATCTCCAGGGGCAGCTCATTCCAAAGGGTTGGAGCCCCCACAGAGAAGGCCCTCCCCCTGGGAGTCGCCAGTCGGCATAATTTGACTGACGGTACCCTGAGTAGTCCCTCCCTGTGAGAACGAACTGGTCGGTGGGAGGCTATTGGTGGCAAGAGACGGTCTCGTAGGTACCCAGGTAAAGTTACAACAGCAGTGAAAAAAGTGACTTATGACTGTTTTTCATAGTTACAACCTTTGCAGCATCCCCATGAACATGTGATCAAAATTCAGATGCTTGGTAACTGGTTCATATTTATGACCCCTGCTGTGTCCCAAGGTCATGTTATCCTCTTTTACAACCTTCTGATAAGCAAAGTCAATGGGGAAGCCAGATTCACTTAACAACCAGGTTACTACCATAACTTATCTAATTCACTTAACAACTGTGATAAGAAAAGTCGTAGAATGGGACAAAACTCAGTTAACAAATGTCTCACTTAACAATAGTAATTTTGACTCATTGTGTTCGTAAATCAAAGACAACCTGTAGAACATTAATCCGGTCAGATGTATAAAACCAAGTTGGTCTAAAACCAAATATTACGGTATAATAGCACCAGTGACTATTAAAATATGACCACCAACTGTTGTGGGAAGTAACATTCAGCAAACCTGGTGGATCTCTGGTTGCTCTTTAAAAATTCATATGTCCATCTGCAGGGATTCCAAAGAATTTAAGCTTTATTCCTCCAAACCCTTCAGAAAAAGAATTGAAAAGATTGATGGGAAAAGGGTGAAAAACAATTTTAGGTTTGTTTTTCCAGCCTCAGCTGATATCAGATCTAAGAAGTAGACTATACATTGGGAGGGAGGTGTTATTTTTATATGAAAAAGAAACTCACTTCTCTACTCACCTACCATTAATGTGCTTAGGGTTTTTTCTTTTTTAATGCATTACGGATCAGGATGACATTTGAAGACTGGTGCAAAAACTTCACTGATGTGGACATTTGTCGGATTGTGAATACCTCTTTCTTCAGTATCCATAAGACCTGGGAAAAGAAAATGATGCGTGGACAGTGGACAAAGAATCCAAATGCCATGTTAAATCGCTCTGGAGGGAGTTTAAACAACGGAATCACCTTTCTCCAAAACCCTCAGGTTTTCATATAATTTACGTTTGATGCATACATAATTTGGGTCTTCTGTGGGCATAAACCTAAACCTAAAAATATTTGTTGTTCCAATATTTGAGGAGCTCCTTTTCTCTTTTTTTAATTTTTTATCTCTTTTTTTCCTTTTTTCTCTGTTGGTCTTCTAACCACTTGCCCCATTCAGAAGTCCTTATACTATCTTGGACAAATGGTTGTCCAGTCTACTCTTGAAAACCTCCAGTGATGGAGGACCCAAAACCTCAGAAGGCAACATTTAAACTGATTCTCTCTCCAGATACTGTACACATTTCTAAAACTATTTCAGTATTTTATTTTCTGTGATAATCTACATTGTGACATTTTGAGAAATTATGCCCTCTGGTGACTAAATTCCATCAAAGTTGCCAAATATCAGATTTCACAGCCAATTGTCTTTATTTGAAAGTAGGCACATACTGTTTTTATCCCTCAACTATCCCAAAATAAACAGTATCACATCAGCTCCTTAAGGTTTAAAAAGAATAAAAGTGGCACAGAAAACTAATCCTTGAGTTTCATTCTACAGGTTGAACTTTGATCCACTTCCTATACATTGCCCTATGTCACTACATTTTTCTACATGACAAGCTTGGAGCTAGGCTAATTACATGTTTTGGAATTTCAGTTTACAACATTGGCCAATCAGATATCTTCAGTGGTTCCATCTATCAGGCTGATAAGAATTCCCATAACTCAGAATTAATCTCCAGGAGGTTTAGTATTTTCCAAATGTCTACTTCAACATCCAAAGGTCCTTCAAGTTGGGATAATATGGCATTGATCTTTAAAACTTCTGGCCTGTACTTAGTTGGGGAAGGTTGCATTAAGTGCTGTGTGAGGTTGTTATATGCAGATACATGTATAGCACTGGAAAGATCTAAGATGTCAATCAGCCTGCACAAGGCGTTAGTAAGGGTTGCTTCCCAACCCTTTGATTGTCTGTTTTCATAAGCTACACTTTCATAGAAGTTTTGTCTGTATTTCTTTTTTTCAGTATATTTTTGTTGTAAAGAAGGTGGAAGACAAGGTCTTGATCTCTCTACAGCAGAAGGACCAACGGGTTCACCGAAAAGAAGGGTCAGGAGATAATCTTGTTATTGGCTTTGAAATTTTCAAGGTAGGTCTCCATCCATCTGTACTCAAGACAATTGCTCTGAAGAATTGATGTATCATGTATCTTGTATTTTTGTTCTTATTATTATTCCATAAGATCTATCTTCATGTACAGGTAGACCTCACTTAATTAGCACCTGTTCAGCAACTGAAGTTACAACAATACTGAATAAATGGGATTTACAAATGATCCTAGAAGTTCCAGCAGTTGCAGTGTCCCTACAGTCACATGTTTGTGACTTGGTGCTCTTGCGCAATTACAATGGTTATTGCATAGTCATATGATTACCAGTTGTGACTTTCATTGCTGTCTTCCAGCAGGCAAAGTCAATAGGAAAACTGGCAGGAAGCTGTAAATTGTGGTCATGGGATCTCATGTTTTATGATCATACAGGATTTGCTTAACAAAGCAACCAGAACTGTCATTATAAATCATGATTTTCTGCTCATATGTGACAGAGTTGCCAGTTCCAATTATTGTACTTAAGCAAGGGTGACCTATAAGGTTGTTTTCACATAGATTTGCATCCAGTTTTGGTCACTACAATATAAAAAAGATGTTGAGACTCTAGAAAGAGAGCAAAGAAGAGCAACAAAAATGATTAGGGGGATCAAAACTAAAACATACCAAAAACAGTTGCAGGAATTAGCTATGTCTACTCTAGTGAAAAGAAGGACTAGGGATGACATGATAGCAATGTTCCAATATTTGAGGGGCTGCCACAAAGAAGAGAGGGTCAACCTATTCTCCAAAGCATCTGAAGGCAGGACAAGAAGCAACGGGTAGAAACTAATCAAGGAGAGAAGCAGCCTAGAACTAAGGATAAAGTTTCTGACAGTGAGAACAATTAACCAGTGGAAGGGCTTGCCTCCAGAAGTTGTGGGTACTCCAACACTGGAAGTTTTTAAGAAGAGATTGAACAACTGTTTGTCTGAAATGGTACAGGGCAGTGTTGGTGAACCTTTTCGGCATTGAGTGCCGAAATGGGAGCGCACACATGTGCGCATGCCAGGAACCAGAACAGCAGCCGCCCAGTGCGCATATGCACACTGGAAAGATGATCTTCCAGTTTCCAGCACATGTGTGCATTCGCACCGGCCACCTAGTCATCGTGCGGGCATGCATGTCAGAAACCGGAAGACCAGGTGGGCGATGCGTGTTGGAAACCGGAAGATCATCTTCCCAGCATGTGCATGCACACCGAGTGGCTGCTCTTCCAGTTTCTGGCACTCCCATGCATGTGACGATCAACTGGCTGGTGCACCAGAACCCTGAAGAGCAACAGGCGATGGCTCGCATGCCCAGAGGGATGGCTCTGTGCCACTTCCAGCACGTGTGCCATAGGTTCACCATCACGGGTATAGGGCCTCCTGCTTGAGCAGGAAGTTGGACTAAAAATTATGTAAGGTGCCTTCCAACTCAAAATTATGTTTCTGTTATTTCTTGAACAGCAGTTCTTGAGTGCAGTTGAGCTTAATTGTTGGAATCCAGCATATGAAAATAGCCTTTAACAAGCCAAGTCCTCTGTGAATAAGAACATGCCATACCTACATTTGTTTTCCAACCTTAGGTGGAGGATAACAGAGAATACCGCCTGCACCAATTGAAAATACAAGAGAGGATAACTAACTTCACCTACCTGAACAATCGCATCGTGTATTTAAAAGTGCTTCTCAAGCAAGGCCGATACCTTTTGATCCCAACCACTTTTTCTCCAAACATTGAAGGGGAATTTATTCTGAGGCTCTTCACAGATGTTCCATCAGCACTCAGGTACTACTTCAACTTCTGGCAATAGGGCTTTTTGTTTTCTCTTCCCCACTTTTGCTTGCCTTCGCTGAAACTTCCAAACATTTGATAAAGGAAGACTGACCCAATGCATGAAGGAAGCAAGATATTCATGGAATTATGGTGAACAAAATGAACACTCCAGGCCCTTTGGTGATGATTATGTTTTGTGTCTGTGTAATGAAAACACTATTCATTGAGTTCCTCATTGAGTTTTCATTCACATAAGGGCACTGCTCCACATTGCAAACTAATCAGTGGCAATTAGGTATATATCTAGGTGATACCATGGAATGACGACCATTGTTTGAAATGCATTGAAGTAATCATCCATACAGTATTTTGGTTGTAATTTTTATCATTATAAATAGCTGTCTAATGACATACAGACAATATTTGGAGTGACTGATAAAGGCAAATATTTGTAGCTCAGAGCTGAAATGAGGGGTCCTTAGTGCTCTCTGACTTGGTTGTTTTCTTGCAGACGTTTCATCACTCAGATAGGTAATATCAGTTCTACTGCAAGTTCAGTGAGCACCAAAGACCCTAATATCTGGAGTGACTCAAAACAATGAACTAAAATAAAACCACCATTAATGTGTATCATTTAGCAAATTTTATTTTTAGTCCGGTTTATATTAATTATATTAACAATCCTGGCTAATCCTTGGCTTGTACATATTGTATGAACTACTAGGCTATAAAGTTCTGATGGAATGTATATATCTATTAATCTTTCTCTCCAACCTACATACCTATTCCGCTTTGATATTTCAGGGAGCTGAAACTGAACAAACCCAGACTGTCTTGCCTGGATATCCTTTTAGGTATCCCTAAGAGGATGTCCCTCATTAAAGTCTACAGGGTGGAAGGACTCCAGAGTCAAAACAGTCATGGGGGTAAGTCCTGCCAAAATGTTATCCGAGCAATGAAAGTCGAGTGAAGTCAAAATTGAAAAATTCATTCCTTTGCTACTAGTGCCCAACTGTGGTTCACTGAAGGAGTTATTGCTTAGCTCCAACCAGTGCAAAATTGTCAAAAGACTAACCATTTAGAATTCTCCATGCTTGGATTCACATTTACAATTTTCGATGTAATGCAGAAGAAATATGTGGCCATTTCAATGGTTCAAAATAGAACAAAGAAAAATAGATTGGAAGGGATCGTGAAGCTTTTCTAGTCCAACTCCCTTGCCTATGGCAGGAAATCCTGTGCCATTCTGCTCAAATGACTCTTCTTGAAAACTTCATGAACCCATAACTTCTGGAGGCAACCTGTTCCACTGATTAATTGTCCTCACTGTCAGAAAATTCTGCCTTAGTTCCAGGTTGACTCTCTCTTTAATCATCTTCCACCCCATTACGTCTTGTCCTGCCTTCAGGTGCTTTGGAGAATTGGTCAACCTCCTCTTCTCTATGACAGCCCCTCAAGTACTGGAAGACTTCTATCATGTTACCCTTAGTCCTTCTCTTTGTTAGACCAGACATACCTAGCTCCCTCGATCGTTCATCATATGGTTTAGTCTCCAGACCCCCACTAATCATCTTGGTTGGCCTTCTCTGCACTCTTTGTAGAGTCTCAACATCTTTTTGTATTGTGATGACCAGAGCGGGATGCAATATTCCAAACTAATATAAATCCCTTTTGATTATTGAGCATTTGTCCATGCTGTTGTACATATCAAGCATCCACCGCTGGTTTTGCTAAATATGTGCTTTTGCTGATAAAACAGTAATTGATTTCTGCCTTCCTCCAGTTTTAATCAATATCAGTATGGCCTACTAACACATGGGCAATGCAAAAGCCAATTTACTTGAAAGTCAACCAGTGCCCTCTGCTGTCTAAATCCTGCTTTTGGATGCTTTTCTACTACTTTCCTTAACAACAGCAGGAAAAACCTATAAATCAAATTAAATTGTTTGCCTCTCAACCAGAATTAGATCTTGGGTTAGCAAATGGCTTCAGTGATGTTTTCTCCATTATCATGCTCTGGATTCTTTTAAAAGGAGAAAAAGAAAACCAGACCCAAATGAAGACTGGGACTTTCTAAATGCATTAATTAATGGTAGACCAGCCTGCCCTAAAACCAGCTTATTCCCTTTGCAAGTATGTTTTCTTTTTTCAGACAGAGCTGAAATTTCTGTTGTACGTGTTTTTCTCAGAGTTTGCTGATTGTGTTGAGGAGGCTGATTGGTCTATAGTTGGCAGGATCATCCTTTTCTCCTTTTTTATATATGGGAATAATGACTGCAAGCCCCCAATCCTTGGGGGCTTGGCAATAGGAGCAAGACCCACAAGTTTAGGCTGTTTTTAATGGTCTCTGGAGGGATTAAGTCTTCCCCTGGGATCTCTTTTATTCTTAGTTGAGCAACAAGATTCTTGCTTTCTGTCTGTACCTGAATGCACTGTTAGAGTTTGAGTGATCACAAGGGGAAAGATAAAAGGAAGGACTTGAAAGAGTACAAGACTGATAACAAAAGGCAAAAGGTATGGGATGTTGAAAGATGTCAGGCCCCAAGAACCAAGAACGACAGTTAGTTTTGAGTAGTTTCTGTATTGTTGTTTACCTGTAGGTGGAATCTTGCCAGACTAAAGCAACTATTTACATAACTACAGATTTATTCTGTGAATTGCTGGGAAGGGGCTGCCTTTGCCCTCTTCCTGCCTACCAGACATTGAAAGCTCCTTTGACTCTTTGCCCTCTGAGAGGCAGATCCTCCTTTCTGGGAATCCAAACTATATGTCAGATATAAATGCCTTATTCTCCAATGTGTAAATAGTGTACAGACAGGGTATCAGGGGTTAATTTATTCTTCACTTCTTAATGTATTCATAATTCACCACTCCCACATATAGCTCCACCCATTGTATATATAAGGAGCTACCTACACCATTTCCACTGCTTCTATCTGTGAATATTCAGTGAATATAGAATGCCTAATGTAAATAAAAGAATATATAGTTAAATCTTTAACTCTTGTTGATCTTATTGAGTCTGATCCTGAAAATATTGCAACACTATATTCCACTACAAAAAAAGCCTTATGAACCGTGCACCTTTCATGTGCCTGAATCAGGTGGAGGGCAAACCTCTTCACAGATGAAGACAGAGGAGTTGGCAGGACTAAAGGAATCTGATGTCATTTCATTGAAATATAAATGTAATTAAATTGTAGCTAAAGCAACTGAACACAGTTAACCGTAACTCCCCACACATTTAATCATCTTCCCCAACTGTTGCATTAAAAATGAACATTTGGCAGAGTCATGGGGAACCTCACAGTCAAGATTTCTAATAATTGGTTGCAGCTCTGGGACTCTGGGCTATTTTACTCCTAGATTAGTAAATTCTATAAACGACAGAAAGATCTGAGCCCTCTTCTATGTTATACTCATGGGACTTTTCACAGCACCAGTTCTCTGAGTATCTCAGATGGGGCCTGTTATTCACATGGTCCTTATTTGACCTTTTTCGGCAAATCCTAAATGCTAATTCATTAGTCCTGAGAGCGACATCTAACTATCATACTTAAAAGTATTGACACCATGTCATGGATGCTTCCATAAAACGGTAAAGGGGTTCCTATTTACAGCATATGTGTGGTTAGTCACAAAAGTGACTGGAGGTGACTATTACACATGCCATGGACTGCAAAAATAATAAACAAACAAGTCCTAAATCAAACCTCACCAAAAATATCATTTGAAGTCAAGCTCACCAAACAGAGGCTGTCCTCCCTTAGTCATGTCATGCAAGTTGACTCGAAAAGTCAATCATGCTGGGAGTCATCAATGGAAAAAGGAGAAGGGGCTGCCCTAGTACCCATTGGCTGGACACTATGAAGCAGCTGCTCCCAACATTTTGGAAACTAGTGATCGGCTCCATGGAGAGATGTTTTTCTGCGAACCAGAGGAGGTGTGGTTACACATGTTGCCCACATCCCACATCTGTGTGGATGGGCTTCATTCATTTGTATGGCCTGGTTTCTGGCCGGGACCAGTGACAGTCCATGGCCCAGGAGTTGGGGCCCCCTGCTCTACAGGATGTCACTGGAATGACCATAGTAGATCGGAAGGAGATGATGTGAAACAGAGGGGCATGGAGAGTGCTGATCGAAGGGTCAGAGTGGCCAAAGGTCAGACACGACAGAATGGCTGACAATGATGACAGTGATAAAATACGCTTTTTAGAAGATAAGCCAGTAAAGTTGCCTTCTTCTCAATTGCTCAGAGCTTAACAACTATAGAAAAAAGAGGCAGGATCTTGATTGTCCTCTCAGCTTGACTCTTGGCCCCCTTCTCCATGGATGCTCCAAATCTAGATAACAGATGTTTAAGTTATCAGTGTGTTCCATAGAGTTTCACAATAACACAGCCCACCCATCAGCATTTGGCAGCCACAGATATTGTTTTATTGATCTGTTGGTGGTGCCCTGAAAAACTGAGAAAGCACCTTACTTCTCTTCCTAGCTTCCTCAGGGGATGTCAGATGCTCTAAAAATAGCAGTTTAAGCAGAAAAGCAGCTCAGTTTCTAAACCATTTTGTCATTTGCTTATTTTGCTTATTTGGAACCCTAACAACAGCAAGATGATCATTTATTTTTACTGTCCTATGGAATTCAACAAAATTGCAGCCTATTAAATTAAACCTGGGAACTAATTGGACAATCTATGGTGGTCGATATCTCAAAGAAGTGATTTAGCTGGTTTAAAACACAGCTCCATGCAGGATCACTACTGAATTAAGGGGAAATCTTATAATCAAATGGCTTGAATCAATACTTCTGAACATGTTCTTACAGATCTGTTCTTTATATTTTTTCCCTTGACAGATTTTATTTTTAGACCATTTAGAAACTGGTTGTTTCATTTGCTCAATTTTAGAACTCAGTGACTTTTTCAAGAATAGATAACAAATTCATAACCTAGATCAATGCCTTAAAATCAAGAGAGCAATTTTATTTCCAGTTATGCAATTTATCTTCCTTGCCAGCCCTAATCAATCCAGAGCCTCTCATACAATGGGGAACTCTCTACAATTCAGCACTGCATTAACATTCTTAACTGTTTCTTTCCCAAATTGTATTGACATATTATATGTAATATTTTGAAACCAAAACAAGACCATAGTTGCACAAGACCAAATCGTATGTGCTAAAAAGCTTTCAGATTTGTTCCAATAGCCAATACTCCACAAAACCCAGCTCTTTTTAAATACTCTTCAAATAAAGATGAAATAACCCTTTTTGATTAATCAGTTTCATTTTTAAATCAGAAACAGTATAATTTACATTTCTTACCAAACAGATCCATTGATTCTTCAAAAGTAAACATTCTAAGTGTTGAAGCATTTGGGCCATACCATTTAGTCAATACATGTTTCAGCTGTATCTCTTGCCAAGTAAGTGTTATGGATAAATCATATGGAGAACACAATCTCTCAATCTCTTTTAAACAACAATTGGAAATCAATCAATTCAAAGTATTGATGTAGGAGAAATGCAGGCAGAGCCGGGAGGCAGACTTAAGCAAGTCATTAGCTTAGAATCATTGCGTTCCCACAAATGGTCTAAATCCAATCTCTCTTGAATTCTGCTGGCCATTATCTGGTGTGATTTTAATATTGAACTTTAGTTGACTAGATCCTTGCATATAGGCTTGAGCAATGATTTTAGGAGAACAGCCTGGTCCTGATTCTTTGCACCTGACATTAATCCTGTCAACTAAAGTTCAGTACTCAATTAATAAGGGTCAGTGGAGTTCAAGAAGGGTTGGACTTGGCAGAACTTCCGGTTGGCTCCGCGGGGATACAGACGGGGAATTAGCGGGCTCTTCGGAGCTCCGCGAAAACCTCATCTGCCAAGCCCCTGCCGGTAGGTCTTTGGACCTACCCTGTCCT